GGGAATCCAAAATCGTGTGATTGTGACTAACACTATGAATGTGACTCTATGGGAGGAAAATCACTATGAAAAAATTCAAATGTGTGACTGTAAGCAAATGTGACTGTATGGGAGGTGACTGTATGGGAGGTCGACTGTATATGGTAAGGTTAATACTATAGTCAATTATGTCAGCCACTGAGCTCACGCTATGCTCCTTTGTTACCCCTTCCTATTCCTAAAACCAGCACTAGTTTGGTGAATGTCATCCATGACGAAGAGGCCTTTTGGAAAACTCTAGGTGCCGCCCTTCAGTGCCAATGCCAAAGACCCTTTTTGCGAAAGATTCATTCTTCCAGCGATTTCCTTGATGTTTTGCTCGAAAAGAATGGAAAAATGATGTCGTCATTTCATAGATGAATTTGACAAGCTATATTCTGCAAGCAACAGCGTCCGCGATGAATGTCTCGAAACTTTCCGAAGCGTCAGGAATAATTGCTCTGCTTATGCAATTTTGACAATAGTTGCGATCGAAACTATCAGCATCCGCTGCCTGACCCCATCCAACTGACGTTTATCACCTTTTAATGTTGCAGAGTTGCTCAACAACCCGTATTTTACCGAGCAACAAGTGCAGTATCTTTTCGACGAATTCGCGCAGAATGAACAAATTCGGATAGATAATTCCATGGTGGATGATATATTTGCATTGTCTAACGGGTATGGTCTGAGATCTCTAATTTGCCATGTTTGAATCGAAATCTTATTATCACGTCTTGCATCCCGCTTTTTGCCTTTGTGGGCATTCCATTATGGAAAATCTTCTGAGGGAAGTTGATGAAAACGGAACACTCACTTTGAAACCTGGACAGACTTTGTCACTACTTCTCTGGAACAGCAGATAGTTACATTTTAATAAACAGACATACCTTACACTTGCCCCAATACCTCAATGTGTCCATGGCATACCATATTCTAAAAGAAAATATCTTTCTCCTATCACTTACATACCAGTTTAGGTCGTTCTACTAGTGCAAATCCTTTTGTATAATATACCACGTTTCAGAGAATGATAGAAACTCTTCGGAATGAAGTAGCAAAGGATGCCCTGGATATTCTCCAAGCTCACTTTGTAGGTTTCTGGATTATGTCACTATCTATGATAATGAGGAACAGCATCAAAGCATTACATTCTGGAGCAGAGACTTGGCTCATTTATTTTATGCATGGTGATGATGTTGTTGAAAACCTGTACTGGCCTGAAAAGTTGGAGAATGGCTTTGGTATTGTACATTTTGGCATGATGCAAATTTCAATACTGTGAAAATGAGTGTCTGTTTTAAGGACCAGTTCCATTTCCCTCATTATTGCTCTCTTGCCACTGGTTTGTTAACTGTTTATTCCTGTTCTTTATAGGCAGCGCTTCTGCAAAGCATTTGCATGTTAGCATGATGGATATTGATCAGGAGCACGATAGGACTGCAAAAAGAATGTGCAAGATTAAGGCTCCTTCTAAGATGGCAAAGCTCACAGAATTTCCATCCCTGCAAGAAAGCATTCAACTGCATTGTGACAGGCCCAATGAGAATTACCTTGCCAAACCTGTTGTTCTCTACAATCCCATATTTAATCAGTTTCTTGTTGAATGTGTGAATGCCAGTGTGACTGATTAGTTTTATGGTGATGTTGCAGAAATGATGTCTTAGTCTTTCTATGTATAATTACTTTCCTGATGAGCATATGCAGTGAAAGACCTTTGTTAATTGTTTTGAAAGCTTACTGGGCATGAAATGTGAACTGATGATGCATTCAGAAAATACTTCATCTAATGATGGTGCAGTAGCCTATGATTTCATTATCATGTCATTTGGAAATCCTACTTGGGCAGTGTTGTTGTTTTGAAGCTAAAAATGAAGCTGGCATGGGAGGTTGTGATCCATTGATTCAGGGAAGTTTAACATATGAACAATGGTGTGCTACTCAAAGAGAATGCAACTGGTGGTCATGCACCTGTTTTTCAGCATTTATTGTTACATTAATTGGACCATCTCTATCTATCTATTACTATGGAGCTGTATACCTTGATCATGTCCATGTCAACCATTTAGTCAAAACTGTGCTTACATTGTCTCTGGACAATCGCAAAGTGATCAAAGTAGCATGTATTTTCAAAGCCTTGAAGGCTGCATGTAATACCTACAAGAGTATTAGTATTGGAGTAAGCTGAGTAAATTTGATGGTGGCAACACAGAGATGAAAGATAAACAATATCTGTTTCCATTTCCGCGGTCTGGAGATGGGTTTGAATTTGTTTATACTGGACAGATACAGAAACTGACAACATTGATATTTACTGCTCATTTGACAGCTACCAGAGAGGATATTGTGGTCAAGTTTGTTAAACAGTACAATGCAGAAGCCCATACCTTATGTGCAAATAATAATGTGGCACCTGCATTGCTCTATTATAATCCTTGTATTGTTCAAGAATGGGGAATGGTTGTAATGAAGCATGTGGGTTCTACAGAGACACTAGATGATATTATATGAAATTCTTCTTTGATACTGAATGTTGAAGAAAAGTTTTTTTATACCAGGATGTTGCTACTGCCATTCAGCTACTTCATAATAATAATTATGTCTTTGGTGACCTTTGAACAACAAATATAATTATAACAAAGTCATCAGCTATTGGATGGTATCAAGCACAGCTGATTGATTTTGATTGGGTTGGCCAAGCAGACGTTGATAAATACCCTAATCTGAATCCTAAAATCGACTGGCCTGATGGCATTGGTGGCGGAATAACACTGAAAAGGGAACATGATCTCATATGGCTAGAACGATTGCGCAAAGTATTAGGATTAGTCCAGAAGTGAAAATGTTATAAATCTGTTAATACCTCGTATCAAATAAAATTTCCACATATTATTGAGACAACATTGTTAAATGATAAAAAATATATATAAGAATACCCATATATGAAAAATAATCATTGGAATAGCTCCACCGAATATGAAAAAGCCATGCGTTTCTTGGAGATAGGTTGCGATTGTGGTTGTTCAAAAAAGATTCCGAGAGAAAATTTTGCCGAGTTACGTGAGCTTTCTCTAGATCCGAACAAGATATATTTTTAATGGCCCACTGAAAGCAATAAATGGTGGAGAAATAACTGTTAGTCGACGTCTTAAAAAGATAACGCGTACTAATAAGAAAACTTTTTATTATTGAGATCGCAATACGCCACTTTGTCAGAAAACGTATCTTATTATGTTGGGGATTGGTCGCACTCATTTTAGTCCAGTCTCACAAAAAGCATTGATTTAGTAGTATCGGCATTTCGAAAATCCGCAACGATGCTACACTACATTAGGAAACAAAATGTTGCGTTTTTTTTCGTGACAGCACAAAACGCTATAATTAGTTTGTACTTAACTGTTCTCTATAAATAGTTAAAAGTGCGTTACGCTTTTTCCGCGACGCTCAAACATATATAAGTAGCTCATATCCCATCGTCAAAAATTAATGTTGTCATGTTACGAATAA